ATTCACCAAAAAGATTTAAAAAAACAAAGCACACGGCAAAAAAGCCGGAAAAAAATGGGACGAAATCGAAAAAGCCGACTAAAATAATCAATAGATTTTTTGAAAATTGTTGCATATAAGGGCCCAGTATCACTCCAGTAGCTCTAGACCAGCTGTTAACAATGCAACATGGCAAACTTGTGCTGAAGTGTAAGTTGGAGACATTGGAAAAGGAAATCTTAAAACTGGAGATCCTGTGAACAAAATCATTTAAGGGGAAAAAGTCTAGTAACCGATTGCATTACCCTTGCTTATAGCAAGGGTAATGAAGCTTTTAGCTACAAAAATAAAAATCCTGAGCTCAAAGTTGAAGCAGTTCAGCAATCAATGTATTTCCTCAACTGTAAAAATTCTTAAGTTAACGAGCATGATTTAAAACATGGTCTTCAAAAGTCAGCTTACATACATGGACCATATTAACTTTTTTTTTAAAATAATTTTTTAAATTTAAAAAATGCTTCTCGCAACGCTTAAATTTTCTCACTGCATAGAAATTGCTAAATAGATGATTGCATCATCATGAGCTTATAGCATTACAAAGCAAAAACAAAAAACGAGAGCTGAGTGTCCTTGTGGAGTGAGTTCCAAAATGAGACATGATATACCCAGTGACGCAATTAGAATTGATATACGCAGTGGCGCAATTAGAAGTGATATACCCAGTGTCGCAATAAAAATGGAAAAATGAATTGGAATCAAATATGGAATTGTTTTCATATAATGAAGGCTATGTTCGTTTTAGGCAAACAAAATTAGCCCAATTTATCCAATTTTCATTAAAAAAACATTGCACAAAAAAAACATTGATTGGATCGGCTGCTGTCAGGGACCACAATTGAAGTTCCAATCTTTGAGTGTAAACATTACTGTCATATCCTTTTAAACTTTGAATTCGAAATCGCATCAGTTTGAAATTCAAAATTAAAATTCGGATATTATTTAGAAAGCTTACATCAGGTTCCGCATTGAAATTGAAAGGTCAAAATCATTTTTACAAAGATCACTCAAAAACCGTAATTCTAGTCTAAAAACTTGACTGTCAGTTTCATTTCAGATTTGGATACACAGAGGTGAAAACTAAAAAAAAAATTAAAAACTATCATTTTTGATTTTCGGCGCTTGTTCTTTGGATCATTCATAAAAATTTTGCTTCGAAATGTATTAGAGCCAAACAATTTTACACAGAGCCGAGGCTGCGCTTCGCAAATAATAGCAAAAACACGACAAAAACAGCTTTATAAAGTGAAAAAAAAGAGAAATAAGCCTCGAATAAGTAAAACGTTGCTGCGTATCGGATTCGAACCTGCGACTAACGAAATATGAAATCTCACGCCCTGCCTGCTCAGCCACTTCACAACCGACAAACAATAGTCACGGATAAAACAGCTACATATGCTAACAAATCGCCAATGCTATGCAGCAAAAGTGGCAACAATTACAAATAGACACAATTTGGCATGTAATAATTTGGAATACAACAAACTGAAGGCATCCGCGCTAGGATTGCATGTGAAAAATTGATAAACATAAAGATATATTTTCTATAAATTGAGTATTTCAAAAACATTGCGAGATATATTGAGTTGAAAAATTTCTAATTCAAACAAACATTGAAACAAACAGCTTTTTCGGTTCATTTGAACAATGAGAAAGGTATCAACTGTGTTAACTTATTACTAATCGAACTTCAAAGCACATGATATTAAAACTGGAGATCCTGTGAACAAAATCATTTAAGGGGAAAAAGTCTAGTAACCGATTGCATTACCCTTGCTTATAGCAAGGGTAATGAAGCTTTTAGCTACAAAAATAAAAATCCTGAGCTCAAAGTTGAAGCAGTTCAGCAATCAATGTATTTCCTCAACTGTAAAAATTCTTAAGTTAACGAGCATGATTTAAAACATGGTCTTCAAAAGTCAGCTTACATACATGGACCATATTAACTTTTTTTTTAAAATAATTTTTTAAATTTAAAAAATGCTTCTCGCAACGCTTAAATTTTCTCACTGCATAGAAATTGCTAAATAGATGATTGCATCATCATGAGCTTATAGCATTACAAAGCAAAAACAAAAAACGAGAGCTGAGTGTCCTTGTGGAGTGAGTTCCAAAATGAGACATGATATACCCAGTGACGCAATTAGAATTGATATACGCAGTGGCGCAATTAGAAGTGATATACCCAGTGTCGCAATAAAAATGGAAAAATGAATTGGAATCAAATATGGAATTGTTTTCATATAATGAAGGCTATGTTCGTTTTAGGCAAACAAAATTAGCCCAATTTATCCAATTTTCATTAAAAAAACATTGCACAAAAAAAACATTGATTGGATCGGCTGCTGTCAGGGACCACAATTGAAGTTCCAATCTTTGAGTGTAAACATTACTGTCATATCCTTTTAAACTTTGAATTCGAAATCGCATCAGTTTGAAATTCAAAATTAAAATTCGGATATTATTTAGAAAGCTTACATCAGGTTCCGCATTGAAATTGAAAGGTCAAAATCATTTTTACAAAGATCACTCAAAAACCTCCTGGTTGGTAATAGCATTCTATAACGAAAAGGCGTAATTCTAGTCTAAAAACTTGACTGTCAGTTTCATTTCAGATTTGGATACACAGAGGTGAAAACTAAAAAAAAAATTAAAAACTATCATTTTTGATTTTCGGCGTTTGTTCTTTGGATCATTCATAAAAATTTTGCTTCGAAACGTATTAGAGCCAAACAATTTTACACAGAGCCGAGGCTGCGCTTCGCAAATAATAGCAAAAACACGACAAAAAACAGCTTTATAAAGTGAAAAAAAAAGAGAAATAAGGCTCGAATAAGTAAAACGTTGCTGCGTATCGGATTCGAACCTGCGACTAACGAAATATGAAATCTCACGCCCTGCCTGCTCAGCCACTTCACAACCGACAAACAATAGTCACGGATAAAACAGCTACATATGCTAACAAATCGCCAATGCTATGCAGCAAAAGTGGCAACAATTACAAATAGACACAATTTGGCATGTAATAATTTGGAATACAACAAACTGAAGGCATCCGCGCTAGGATTGCATGTGAAAAATTGATAAACATTAAGATATATTTTCTATAAATTGAGTATTTCAAAAACATTGCGAGATATATTGAGTTGAAAAATTTCTAATTCAAACAAATATTGAAACAAACAGCTTTTTCGGTTCATTTGAACAATGAGAAAGGTATCAACTGTGTTAACTTATTACTAATCGAACTTCAAAGCACATGATATTAAAAAGCTGTTAAGTGCCCAGAAATTGGCACCAAAATTTGCGACTTGGGTGGTTAGAAAAGAATAGTCGTACTAAAACACTACCTCACTAAAGTTCGCTACTGTAATAATCAAACAAACACTAGAAAATATAATATTTAGGAATTTTTTTGCACTTCTTGCTTCATTTCAAGGCTATTCTCTCAGCAAGCATACCTTATAACTTAAGAATTTAATTCTCTCTTTCTAAAATAAAAAAAATCTATTTTTTTTCCAATTTTCCTGCCTTTCTCAGTAAAAATTCTTTGACATGAGTTAGGAAAAACTAAAAGAACTGGAACTAAACTATTTAATAAAGGTCAATTTGCGGTAGATTTCAATTGTTTAGACTGTCAGCTTATTTTGGGCACTATAGTCTATACCGCACCGGAGTTCCGTGGATAACAATAGATTATAAATAATGGAAAATTGTTGTCTAAAATGTTGTCATTATACTCCTTTATTGTTGCAAATTTAGACCACCAAATCGATTATATTGTCACTATAATCTATTATTTTCGGATAAACACAATCCATTTAAATCCATTATAATGGATTATTATCCATTCAAAATTCATTATAAATGATTATAACGGATTATAATCTTTACATTTTTTTGCAAAATCCTTTGCCAAACTTGCAACATTTCTGCGTTACTCACGGACTACTCGCAATCTAAACCTAATGAAATTAACCCCTCCCCCCTCACTTTGCCTCCCATCTGCATTTGTCCAAACCAACTCCCCCCACCCCTAAGTTTACTTAAGTTTAACCTCAAACACAACCCCCCCACCCAAGTTACAGTTCACCCCCCACCCCACCCCCCAGTATGTTTATCAATGAACGAGGACGGGGGGAGGGGTTACTCAATGTGAGCAACACCTATTTGCCCCCATTCTCCATTTTAACCCACTCACCCAAGTTTTTTGTTCCACCCTTCCCCCATTTTTTACCCCGCCCCACGTTCAGTAAACGGGGGAGGGGGTTTGGTTTAAACTAAGATGGGGGTTTGGTTTAAACTAAGATGGGGGTAAACTGACGAGGGGTAAGCTGTGGGAGGGGAGAAAAAGTAGAGAAAAATTAAATTAAAAAATCTTATGTGAAAAGTAAAAATTTATGAAACGTAATACGTAGCAACTGCACGAAACAGGAAATGAGATAACTTTCAAAAAAATTTGCAAAAATCATAATTTCTTCTCAAAAAACACATTATAATAGATCAATCTATTATAATGAATTCTAATGATTAAAAAATATTATGATTATAATCCATTTTTAAAGGATTATAATCGATCATTAACGATTATAATGGATTATATTGATATCAAAAATACTAAGATTATAATTCATTTTTGATGGATTTTAATCCAATATTTTTGTAATTTTATAGATACATACAGACTATAAAATGACAATATAATTGATTATTGTCCATGGAACTCCAGTGCGGGATGGTCCCATTTTCTCGATACTACAAATGCTTGGAAAATATTAGGAGGAATCCTATTCACAACTGCGCGAGCTTTAATGCTTGATCATTTCATCACTTTACAAGCTATATTTGATCACTTTACAAGCCTATATTTAATTACTTTACAAGCTTTCTTTGAGCTGAGGTAATCTATATCGGGCTGAAAAATCCACCTGAGTGGTGGGAAGGATAAAGCTGCTGCAACATACCAAGTAAGAGGCATTTCTGTTGGGCAATTTTTTCTAAGTCCAACTCGGGTACAATTCGCCACTTCATTAGTTTGAGATTTAGTTCCACAGCGTTCTTAGATAAAATTTTTGGGTCCATGAGTTTGCTCAAGTCAGCCATTTTGGGTAACAATTTTTCCTTGTTTTTTTCCCACCCACTACTCGAAAGGAGATCTCTGACCGAGAAATCGACACTTCCAGGCTGCGTGGGAATGTTAAGTTGCACAGAGCTTCTCACTGAAATGTCGGCTAAAACATAAACAAAATTTAAAGCTTCCGAACAAGCATGATAGACTTATTTAAATGACCATTTATGTAACACGCAGAAGCGAAGTGGAGCTTCGGACTACATGCGACATAGAAAGATAAATTGAAAAAGATGATTGCATGACAAAATTACATAAATACGACACAAAAATCTTTTTTTTATTATTTGACTGCCAAGATTTTCCCCAACTTTTAGGCTGAAGCCAACTTCATAAAAAAAAGCTTTGTAAATTAATTTTGTAAATGATTCAAAGATTTCAGATTGCCTTCTCAAACATTGAAATCAAAAAGAATCAGCGATTTAACAGCAAAACTTGAAGTTTTGTAAACAAAACTCTCAATTTCTTTTTTGAGGAAAACAATGATTCAAGAGTATTGAGAAAACTTTCAAGAATTAAAAACATAGCCAACAGACAGCAGGAAAAGAGTCATGCGTCATCAACGCAAGGAAACCGAAAAAAAAACTGACTGTTTTTTGAAAAACTTCAATTTTTGAGTTTCAAAGAAAAAAAATAAGGCCTTAAGGCTCTTTTAAATTCCAGAAAAACTTATGATTAACACTTTGTAATAAAATTGACCCATCTGGATAAACCTGAAAATCAAATGTCTATTTAGAAACTAGAAGTCGATCACGTTTTTCGCGACCTTTACACTTTTGCTGTTCAATAGTCGAATTTGTCTTTCTTTAAACAAAAGAAATGAACTGAACTGAGAAAAAAATCACAAAACTCGAACCATTCAAAAAAAAATCACCAAGACTTATAAAAAAGAGTATTTACTACGTTCATGATTCCTAATAACTTCAAACATAACATCCACAATAATAAACAAAAAACGTACGAAGGTAATTAAACTAAACCACTCTTATTAGTGTTGAATGCAAATTATCATTGAAATAAAATTGGCAAGCTTAAAAACTTCGCATTAACGCTTAAACTTCGTTTAAAAACTTCGCAGAAGAGCTGGAATCTGTTAAATAGGAAGGCAAAGAAATTCAGATCAAACTTATTTCTTAAAAAACAGTAACGAAAAATCTATAAACACGAAGAAAACAAACGTCTGATATCATAAAACAATTAACAGCACACATAACATATACGCCCATATGGTCAAAACTTAGGAACAAGCTAGCCTCTACTTGACGAATTTTTATTAAAGTCAAGGAAAGTTTTTTTACATGTTTTTTTTCTACTAATTTTGCCGCTTTTCGCTCATGATTAAAGGACCTAAACAGAAGTATAGAACTGAGGAAAACTTGATTCTCATAATAAATTAGGCGTATTCGACAACAGTTTTCCTCGAAAATCAAGCAAAAAACGAAAAATCAAATAAATTTTACGACCCAAGAACGCGCTTAAAAAATTTACTTTGCTTGTCTTAAACTAAACTTTCACGGCTTAGCTTTAGTTATTAGTCAACTATGCAAACCTGCTCGCTCGTTCCATTCACTCGAAATTAGACTGAATATCAAAAATTTCAAACCAAATGTTTTGATTTTTAGAACACTTTTCAGAACTATTAATTTAGTTTAAAACAAAATTGAGAGGTCTTTAATATATATCATTAGATCCGTTCCGGTGACTATTTTCTATGGGAAAAATTTATGAGAAACAAACCTGATTTTGTGAGAAAAAATATAAAAAAACTATAACACACACGAAGACTAAGTTCTTCGCAACTGTCAAGGGTCGGAACAAAGCGAAGTTTTCAACACTTTTGGATTGAGAAAAATTCTAGAACCAGCTTTCAAGAAACTTCAAAGAAAAACAATTGGGAAATCTAGCCTGCATTAATTGAAGCTAAAGCCACGAAATGTATATAAAACTCAATTTACATCAAAATGAAAAAAATATATATCGAAGATGATTTTTACTATTTTGCCTGAAACCAAACTGAAGATAAAAAAATTATCATTTTTCGGAAAACTCATAAAGTTTATATATTTTTTCCTGAAATATAGTAGTGGTAGGCGCTATTTTAGATACTTGCACATACTTTGATTGATATATGTATATGGTATCTCAACCGACAAAATTTAAGCAGAGACATTAAGCCCAAAAAGAATCGACCTTGTATCAAAAAAAAATTGAGACAAATACACGGGAAGCCATAGATTATAGCAGTCCGAAAAATCAATAAGACGAACAAGGATAGCCGGCTAGTGTGCAAATAGCACAGAATGTGCCAACCATAGACTAAAAAAATTCCTTTTTTAAAATTAGCGTCGTGTTTTCTTGTGTGATAACAAATTTGCAGAAAATGTTTGAGTTTTTCAAGTTTTCAATTTCTAAATGGCGCTGAAAAAACTGCAAACACCAACTTTACTTGTGTAAAACTAAATTTTGACGGCCTAAATCAAGCAAAAATAAGCTATTGTAAGCCTGCTCGCTCTCATTATTCGCTCGAGTTAAGACTAAAAATCACAAAAATTTTGTTTTTCTCAATACCGGAAAATTCTAAGTCGTTCGAATCACGATTGAAAGTGCTTCAACTTGATATATCACCCATTACAGTAAATATTTGTGGTACCTGATTTGGCGTGGAAAACAAGAAAAGCTAAAACACACCCGAATACCAAGTTCCTCCCCACTTTTCAAATGGTCGGAACTAAGTCATTATATTTAAGCCGTGGGAGTCCAGCCTTGGACATTTTTAATTTAAAAAAGTCTTTTACCTGATTGAAAATCATATTAACTGATAGAAAATCATTTGGTTTCTCAAGTTTAACAAGCTGATTTTTCACAGACGCGCCAAAATCACAAACGCGTCAAAGTAACTCGTGAACTATCGATTCAAAAAGTGTTCTGAATTTTTTTTTACTGTTTTTGATAGTTAAAAAAACACATGCACCTAGGGTAGGGGTTTGCGGGTCATATGGCCTAATATCTTTCTTTTCCAAGCCTCATTTCTAATGACTACTGACGATGAACTGCTCAATATATGTTTGTGATTTACGGGAGAAATTTATACTTCCTTTTTCTTTTGAGGAGGCTGTACTATCACTCATTTATATGTGACTTTCATTAGTGAAACTTGCATTTGCAAAACCCACCGGATTCCAAAATTCTACGGTGATTAAAAAAAACAAGGAGTCAGCAGTGAACAAAAGCCAAAAAAGCACCAACCATTTTCAGCTTGGATGCGCAGACATACAAGATTAATTTTGTCGGCCTTTTTGGCAAAATGAAACAAAAGTGCGTTGATGACATTTCTGCAAAACCATCCTATGGAGTTAGAGTCTGTTGAGGGGTCGGAGCAGACGAATGTAACTGCAGTCACACTTTCCCTCTCACGCGCCTCTTCCCAACTGATCCTACTCTTGTTCACACTATCAACGGCAAATAAGGTTTCAGTTAAGTTCACACCATTTGCTGACTCCAGTAAGCAAACATTATCAGCGGATATAGGATCCAACTCAATCTGGGAGCACAGCTCATTTGACAGGTGTATTGAGGGAAAACAGACCCAGTATACAAAAGTGTGCTTTTTCAGATCAGCAAAACAGAGAAGAGTGAATGGGAGTAATAATGAAGAGTCTTCGAAACAAGTTCCACGCTGAATACTGTCAATGACTGCGTCTATAGATGAGCTCAAAATGGCCTTCTTGTCGAACTTGCTGAAGTCTTCCTTGGTGTTGGCGAGGAGTAGTTGGCCTCGAGATATGTGCGAGAATGCGGGCAGTTGCACTTTCTCATTAAATGCCTGGTCTCCAATATTGAACAGACATGGTAGACCTAAACAAAACCTGTCATATTCAATCATACGTGGATTAAATTTAATCATACAAGGAAAAAGTCTATTCTAGATCAAATAAGACTTTTCGAATTAAACGCATTAACTCTGATTTGAAATTTCAATTGAAATTTTTTTTTGCGCGGAGCTACTTTGGTCTAACCGTCTACCGCGTTTGGCTTTCATAACACTTTGCCCAGCTTGAATCAATCGTAGTAAGTACTTCACCTGGTTTAAGAGAACTGTTGAAATATCCCTGGATGGGCTTAGGCGAAGTTTCTAGCTTCCACTCGTTCAGTTTCCTGTCGGCTAACTGGTACCAGAAGCCAATGTCCAAAGAGCTCACGAAAGGAGTGATCATCATTAATTAAATAGTTAAAATGTCGACTATAATTTGATTTTCTCTATAATATTTAGATCTAATTCCACAATCAAACAGCCAATTTCAACTATAAATGTAGCTAGAGGTCGCGCCTAGCTATTTGCAAATCCAATACAACTAATACAAATTGTTTTCATTAGAACGCATCTGAAAATAATCATAATATGTTTTAGAGAAGAGAAACATAAAAATGTTAAGAAGACAATAACTTCTGGTACAAGCTAGGCTCAAATAAAAAAATGGTGTTTGACAGCTAAAAACTTTTTTTTTCAGTTTTTTAACGGGAGTCGTTTTTAGGTTATCAGAATTATGTGATGCTTTCAATTTCAAAAAGCTTACAGCTAGAGCGAGGCCCACAGAAGTCTACCAGTGATGTCCAATATAACCCTTTGTTTAAAAGTTTATTTAATCAATTGGTTAAAAAATGGTTCGTTAAACTAATTTAACCAATAACCAATTGGTTAAACCGATTTGGTTAAGCACAGGTGGTTAGTCTTATATACTTAATGGTTAGTCTTTTTTAAACAATTAAAACTGGACCATATAACAGCTTTTCAGGCTTGCATTTTGAATCTAAGTAAGGCCAATGAATCGTTTTTTCTTCAACGCCACTCCAAACTTTCACCCGCTCGTGCTCCATGGAGTGATAATTAGCAGTTTTGGCATTTCAATACAATTTTAGGATCAACCGTATAAACCCCCCTGCCAAAAAATGAATTTAGGGGGGGGGAGAAAATATGGATTTTTCATGAACTAACTTTGAGAATAGCCGGTATTCGTTCAAAACTAGAGCTTGACACACCTCCGGTGCTTCTAATTTTTGACAACTCATAAAAACCGCATATATCGGATATAAGATCTGCAATCTTTGATTGTACTCTGACAGCACCCATTTACTGGGTTGGTAACTTCAAAATTTGCAAACTTTTTTTTTCAAGTTTTTCTATATTCAAGTTTTGAAAAACCTAAGACTGAAGTTTTTATATCCAAGTTCTTTGAAAAATTTTAAAATTTCATAAACAATGTCACATCTCGAAAAACTAAAAGTAATTGAGCAGTTGCATTTGGACGAACATTTGCAGCTCTTGAGAGTTATCTCACAGTACCCAACTACAGCTTCGGAGATTTCAAATTTTGAAAATCTTCAAAATTATATTTCTAAAAATTTTTCTGAAAAAACCATAAAAAACGTCATTTTTCAAAAACTACAAAAATTTAAGCACCAATACTAGTAAAACAGTTGAAATAAGATTCGCAACCCCTGAGAGTACTATAGCAGCTACCAACTACAGGGCTGGCAATTTCAAAATTTGAAAAACAATTTCAAATTAAAGTTTTCTAAAAATTTTCGAAATCACAAAAAACGTCATATCTCGGAAACTACAAAGATTTGAGCACTCACATTTGGAGGGAAAATTTGCAACCCTGGAAGTCCCCTTACAGAACTTCACTATAGAGATGAGATCTCAAATTTTGTGAAATTTTTTTATATCTCAGTTCTTTGAACATTTTTAAAACAAAATGACCTAGCAATCCTCACATCTCGGAAACTAAGAGCATTTGAGCAGTCGCATTTGGACGCAAAATTTGCAAATTAGAAATGTTGAGAGTACCCTAACGGAACCAACTACAAGGTTGGGAATTTCAAATCTTTTGATTTTTTTTAAATATAAGTTTTCTGAAAAATTTGTTAACGTAATCATAGAACACGCCATATCTCGAAAACTACAAAGATTTGAGCACTCATATTTGGAGGCTAGAATCGCAATCTTTGAGAGTACTCTGACAGCACCCCACTACAGGGTAGGGAATTTCAAAATCACAAAAAAATTGTCGTTTCTCGTAAACAAAAAAGATTTGGGCATTCATAATTGCCAGCCCTGATAGCATCCCAAAATTCAAAACACTGAATTGAAAATGGAAAATCGAACAAAAATCTTAACCATTGCAATATACGATTAAGCTTAAACATGCAAAAATAATATGTTAAAAGAGCTTAAACATGGCGAGATAGTGAAGCCCGCATTTAAATATATAATAGATCTTAACCATTGCAATATACGATTAAGCTTAAACATGCAAAAATAATACGTTAAAAGAGCTTAAACATGGCGAGATAGTGAAGCCCGCATTTAAATATATAATAGATTAATGAAAAAAAAAAGAATTGAAACATTAATCTAACCAATTACCAGTATGCAATTGCAATCTCGCATACAGAAATGTAGAATTCAATTTTATTTGCGAAACGTAGAAACCAATTTTTTTCCTCCTAAATTGTTCCCGGTTTCATGAAATGCATATTTTATACAGAATCAATTTTCAGATTTAATATATGCTTGGTAAGGGCATTCTACGGTAGGTCATTAAACTTGACATCACTGTAGGATCTTTTCATGAATTGATGGGTGGAATTTTTTTCAGGATGTTTTGATTTTTAGTGACTGGATTATCCAGCTTTTTAATCAAAATTCGCGCATTAATCGGTCGTGTACTTAGAGGCAATAACCTGAACAAACAGACCGTAACGGTCGATTGTACTATTTGTTTGCTATCAAAATCTGAAAACTTATTGAAGCAACCATAGATCTAGCCCTAAGTTTAGCACTACTGTATTTTCATAGTTCTGGGTCTTTCAGCATAAAAGTGATAATCGAAACAATCAGGGATTTCAGACATAACAAAAAATTGGCAGTCCTTTTATCTAAGACATTTATTAGGCTGTGGCACTTCCAATAGCTTGCAAGGCTCTGCGGAAAACTGTCAGCATGTCAAAGCTAAATGGTGAGAAAAACACTATTTATATTTTGGTTTTTGTCTTATAAAAAAACTGATAAAAATAATGGAATCTTTCATAAGTTATATCACACAGAGGCGATTAAAATCAAAATGCCGATTATAATACTCACAGCTAACATTTCACAGGAGCACCACTTTTCATGCTGTTTATCGTGAACAACAGTCACAAAACACTTATAAAAGAATAAATATGATTATATATAAAACCTAAATTGTGCTGCGTTTTTCACATAAAACATATGACTATCAACTATACTCAATTTGATATTTTCAAAGCAAATAAAAATGTAGTTGGCTTGTAAGCGATGTGAAATATAAGCGATATAGTTGGCTAGTAAAAACATTCGAAATTTATTTCAACCCTACAAAATAGCATTCAACTAAGCTATGTTGTTGGCTTGTCAAAAATGGAAAATAAGCCAATAAAAACAACCGAAAGCGACGAGTCGAAAAAGAGAAAACAAACATTCAATGTTTTCACCGCGTATAGATTGAAAAAAAATTATCAAGGAATCCACAGAAGTATCAACGATCGTTGAACAAAATTATAGCAAGCAAGTGTACTGCAGGCGTATGACGTCAAGTGAGAAACTCTTAGAACGAAAATATTTACGGGAAAAATAGTATAGTACCTGGTTGCAAAACATTTGCTATCAATATCACATGTGTAATAAATATAACACAGAGGCGGACCTGCGCTTCGCAAACACTAGCAAGAATACCGCAAAAAAGCAGCTTTATAAAGTGAAATTTGAAAAGATAGAAATAAGCATCGAATTAGTACAACTTTGTAACGTATGGGCTTCTAACCTGAAACCTCGAATACTGGAGTCTCATGACCTGCCCTCTCGGCCACAAACGCTTAAAACCGGCAAACACTAGTCGCAAATAAAGCAGCTACATATGCTAATAAATCGCCAATGATATGCAGCAAAATTGGCACCAAATAGAAATAGACACATTTTTGCAAGTAATAGTTTGGAATATAACAAACTGAAGGCATCCACACTAAATTTGCAAGTAATAAAAAAGTGGAAAGCAAAAAGCCACATTATGTATAAATTATGCATTTCATAAAACTGCGAGATATATTGAGCAAGAAAATTTCTGAGTTTTTATTATTGTTATGTTCTTTGAAACAAATAACTTTTTTCGGTTCATTTGATGAATTAAAAATATATCAACTGTGTTAACTTATTACTATTCGATTATCAAGACACATGCTATGAAAAAGCGTTAAAGTTGCCCCAAACGTGGCATCAAAACTCGCTGGTATACTGACCTCTTCCGCTGAACAATAGTGCCAGAAATGCATATCGCACAAATTCGCTCATGAAAAACCGAATTTTTATCGTCTTAAAGAGAAAACTGACTCTAAAAAGACAACTTTTTTGGGAACAAGTCAACATCCTCCCAACAGATAGACCAATTTACGATCCTTCACCTCAGCGTTCAATTTAAATTGAATTTGCTAAAAGCTGTATATAAAATGATCTATTCTGATTGGCTGAAAACTCGAAATAAGAACCAAATTAACATCCTCACCCCAAAACGGCTTTATGGGAGGATGTTAGCTTGGTACCTTTTTGTCTACATTTCTAAAATTTTGATAATTCTCCTCTCGTTTGCACAGGTGTACTTAATTGATAAGATATTTAAGCTTAACGGTCAACCCAAATCTGCCCAAAACAGGAGAGAAAAAGGTCAAAACAGAGACAACAATTGAATTAATTCATTTTAAAATTAGGCTCAGATAAAAAAATAATTGCCTCTGATTTGCTTTAGAGCTCAGATAAACAGTGTTGAAATTTTTCACTGTGATTTTTGACAGTTTTTTGCTTTGTTTGTTTGTCTTTCGTTATTCATCCGTCAGTAATTCAGCCTTTTAAATGATAAACATTTTCCCCGTATTCACTTATGAATGAAAGGTAGTAATCGAAACATAAAGGCCGACATTTTTTGGAAAGGAATATTTCCAGTTTAAAAAAAAACAGTTCCTGGTCAGATTCTAACCCACAACCTTTCCCGTCCCAGGCGTAATCTTCGCCTCCAGGCAATGTGCCGGAAACGCATAGAAATTTGTATTCCTTATGAACCACCATACAAGTGATTCAGTTAAATAAATTGGTAACCCGAAAAAAGTCTATATTCCGGTTTGACAATGCTCATTGTGAACCACGATACAAGTGATTCAGTTAAATAAATTGGTAATCCAAAAAAATTTTATATTCCGGTTTGACAATGCTTGCTAATGGCAAGCGTAAAAATTGAAAGAACAAAAACAAAACAAAAATTGATTTTTCCGAGAGCCAAAAATTTTTGTGTACAAAAAAATAGGAGTCGTCGATTATGCAGAAGAGCATCCCAGAACTCGCCATTTCGATTGAACTTCCTCAAAACCTCAGATTTGGGATGTTTGTTTTCCAGAGAAGTCAAAAATTTTTCGAAAAAATGTCATTCAACCAAAAATTTGACTTTCCGAGATTAATTGCTTTTTGTGTAAAAAAATTGGGGCATAGCAACCTGTGATTTAGATTAAACCCAAAACTCGAATTTAGGAGGGCAGTTTTCGAAAAAGGTCAAAAAGTTTCAACAGGTACAACATAATTAGCAGTCCAAGCTAGCAAACCGGAAAAGAAAACCATCAAGTCAAAAAACAACAACTTAGGAAACTTCAAAACGTTTTCAGGAATCATGTTTTATTTGCGGAAAACACGTCCCAAAACACATTCGACAGCAATTAATGAAAATAATTAACAAGCGGAGCCGATTAAACTTCAATAGTTTCCCGTAGAACCGAAAATATAATTGTTGCCATGAAAAACTTTGAACTTTAAATTCGGATCTAAGAACTTTAAGCATTTTGAGCGATACCCCAAACAAATTCTCGGTTTGACACCTGCTAATCACATGCGTAAAAAACGAAAGAAAAAAACTGACTATTCCGAGAGCCAAAACTTTTCATGTAAAAATTGGGCGTCGTCAATTATGCAAGGGAGCTTCCCACAAGCCACCATTTCGATTGAACCCAAAATCTCAGATTTGGGAGGGTAGTTTGCGAGACAACAAGTTTCAACAAGCGGTCAAAAATCAAAGTTTTGACTTGTCCGAGGGCCATTAGTGTTTGTGTTAAATTCTTAGGGCGTAGCCGCTCACGGATGGGAGCTTCCCAACACCCGTTAGAACCAAAAAACTCAGATTTGGGATGGTGGTTTCTGAGAAAAGATTCAAAAATATGGGTGAAATAATCCCCCCATAGACCTATTTGAATGCTGTATACGGTGGGGTTAATGTAAAAAGAGACTGGGAAATTATACAGACACACAAGGAAGTAGGAAGTCGTTCATTGGATAAGTGTTGTTTTTTTTTGAAAATCGGTAATCATTTTCTGAAAAAATTAAAATTTTTGCAAAAAAAGAAAAAAAATTCAAGGGGTCTCAAGTCTCAAAAAAACATACAATGTCATACATTTACCAAAACCATACATTTTCATTAAACCAATACCATACATTTTCATTATACCTAATTTAAACAAAAAAGAACTCTAGAAACCGGCTGAAGATAGTGGGGTAAAGTGAAAATATACTAGGTGATTATGCAGGCACGCAGAGCAGTGGGCGATCTTCCCATCAATGTCCTTTTATAGAAATAGTTTGAGCGTCTCAAACCAAAATAAAATTAAATAAAAAACAACACCATGCACTTTCAATATGCCCGTTTTTATCAAACAGGAATTCTAGGTAAGAATGCAAATCAAGACATTGGATATTTTAGCAATGAACCAAAACTTACAAAGCGAAAACAAAGCCGAACATCTTTGAGCAGAAACCAGTTGGTCCGAAAAAAAAGTTTTTATAAAAAAAAACTTAAAAAACTTTAAGTCCCCTGAAACTACAATGATCAACACTTGCAACTATCATGATATTTGCTTATATTACAAGAAAAACCAATGATGTGGTAACACAACCGACGTAACTTGAGCATAAAAATCTAAGATAAGGCAACTAAGACGATGATCACTGACCAAACACCTGTTGAGCCGAAAAAAAAGATAAAAACAATTCTTCAGTTACCCTCCCTGAAACTGAGAGAACAACACTTGCAGTTGCAACGAAAGTTGCTTACACTTACAGCACAAGCAAGATGGGTGATGTAGTAGCTGAGCAGGCAAAACTTGCGCAGACAAATAAAAGTCCGACAACTTAATTTTTACCAAAAATTTAAATATTTTCAATTGATTACATACTGAAAAAAAAAGTTCCGGCGAGACTCGAATTCCAGACCTTAGGGATCGAAGGCGACGGCGTTACTTCAGACTAAATGGGGATAAACCTGGTATTTGTGAATGTTCGACACTAAACCAAATTGCGAATTTGTAGAAGTTGTTTACAGGAAAAAGTCTAAATCCCGATTAAAAAACACTTGCTCTCGCAAGAAAAATTATTCGGAGACTGCAGAGGTGATAATCCTTGTGCATGGGAAATATGAGTGAGCTTTTATGATTTTTCAAAATTACGTCAAATATCTCTGATTTTGAATGAAGAACCTTTCATGATTCATATTTTTCAAAAAACTAAGCCAACTAGAGAAACTTGGATCAATTGAGAACTTTTTTTATTTTTCCAGTGAATCAAATTCCACTGCTGATTTTAAAATTCTTTCGCGTTTTTTCACACTATTCGAATTTTCGTCATTGTAGAGCGTACTTTGTCTTCCTTTAGCAGAAGTCAGACCACTAAAGAACGCTGAACACAAATCAGAAGTCAGACCCCTCAAAGCTGCAATCGAGCTTGAAAAAAACTTACAAGGAGGCTAAAAGGAGCTTGGTACTACTTGCGATAGAAAATGATCGAACAAAAAATGAAGCCGGCAGATTTGAAACAGAAAAGATAATAAAAAAACGAATAAATCCAAAATTTAGGCATATTTATTTCGATATTTTTGCAACCAATCACAATTAAAAAATCGCCACAAAAGAACCTATTTGATGATTCCATAGAAAACTAGTGGAAATTAAGCCAACAGTTTCAGTCGAAAACGTGAAAACAAAAAACACGAAAAAATTGTCTAACAAAGCACAAATTGGCTATCGGGGCAGAAAAAAAACGCTCAATATTTAATAACGGCTCTTTTAAAAAAACACATTAATATACACCGTACAAAAAATCATAGAGCCAAAAAAATTTAAGAAAAACTTTCAACACGGAGGCGGATCTGCGCTTCGCAAACACTAGCGGAAAAAAGCAGCTCTATAAAATGAAAAAAAAAATTCGATCCTACGAGCAAGAGATTAAGAGTCTCACGCACTAACCCCTCAGCCATGGACGCGTAACAATTCACAAACTCTAGCTACAAACAAAGCAGAAAACAGATGCTATGAAACTTCTTATGCTACAGATCGTGATTAGAGCAAAACTGCGCCAAATGAGCACTTTTATTTGCGAGTTAGATTGGGAAAAAAGAAGAATCGTACAAATACACTTCACTTTCAAGCTCACTAATGTAAAAATAGAAATCTTGCCCTTGAGATACAATGAGCAAAACCTCAGATATATTAATTTCAGTCAAATATACACAATAGATGAAGTTGAAAGATAGCAAAACATACTATTACGAAGGCAAAAACCGTGAAAGTAAAAAATCATTGATGAACTTTGCCAAAATCAGTCCACGAACGTTTCTAACCACAAATCAATGTTCAAAAAACAGTACAAATGTGATTAAACCCGTGTGATCCAAATTAATAGTCAAAAACAGCTCCAAATATTAAACAGCTTCAATACCAGTGATTTGGACGAGTAACGCAGCAACTTGGGTAGTGCTCTTCCAGTAAGTTAATTCTGATAACTCAACCGAAAAAGGTAGACTGAAATCAAAAGTTATTTGGACACCAAAATTTTGCAAAAAATGATTAAAGAATTGGAAGCCAATTAGATTTGAACATATATATATATATATATATATATATATATATATGTAAAAAAAATCTCTAGAGGAAGAAAATTCAAAAATTATACGGATTTACTAAGACTCAAGAACCTCCAAAGCAAAAGAAACTAAGAAGCAGACAAAAATATACATGCACAATTTTTGAAACTCTTACAATCAAAATTTACCAAAGTCATTTAGATTACCGGGACGCAGAAACTGCAATTAAATGCGCTCAACATAACAAATCAGTCCCTGAATTTAAAAAAAATGTAAAGAATCAGCTGACAAAAGGACAACGAAAATTTTTAAAATGCGCAGCAAATCGAGATCTCGGCTATTTTCATTAAAAAGCACTTGCTAACTACATCTTACTGCCGCAAAAGATTTCAACCAAAGTTACCAAGAAAACTTTTCCCCAAAAATTGCAACATTCTTTTTTTCGTTTGATTATTGGGAAGATTCTGCGACGTTGATTTCAAACTTTCAAGCATTGTGCCTTTAATAGTTTGCTCAATCTTAAATCATACAACCGGGTATAAAAAGAAAAAAAACATATTGGCCGACAGAATAAAAGCCTATTTTTTTTTAAATTCAGAGGCTCGAATTTAAATTTAAAAAGTTTAAATTCGAGCCTCACTGTAAGAGAATAAGTGCACAGACCATTCCGCCAGTAGCCAGACTTAAGAATAATGTTCCCCGAGATTTTTAACAAAACGGCAACCAATTCTTCAACATAGCCTTGAACTATTCTCAATACAGTGTTAGCTACTCTTCTTTGAATATCAACTGCATCAATAAAACTGAATTGTGAAGGCTTTCAAGAATAATTTGATTTCCAAACCAATTTACATTATTTTCCATAAATATAAAGATATGTAATTGTGAGTTTTATACAAATAAAGGCCAAGTACTGAGCCGAACAAGTTTTACTTTCGTTGCGACTTCACACAATTGAACAAGCGTTGCGGTACTGAATTTTGTAATTTTGCCAACTCGCTGACTGGACTGTCAAGTAGCTTCAGATACGAACTCAGATCATCGCTCAGTTTCAACCCCAGATCATCCAAAACATTCTGAAGGTAGTTCACATCAGTGCTCATTTGTCTGGCACCTTCATCGGTTAGCATTTCCAGTGACATTATGCCTTCTAGGTACAATCGCAGCATGTCTTCAACTATAGCCGACAACCACAGTTCACAGAGGGTTTCATCTTGGCCCAATTTAAATGCTCCCAGGGTCCCATCTGTAATGTAGTTAGTTGAAAACACTTTCTGGATCTCAGCATCCGATTCCAGCACCTCAAGCTGAGCTGGCAATGACATCATGTATTGGCCAACACGCGTGATGTACTCCAAAGGCGACAAGCTGAACTTGGATAGCCTTTGATCTGACATCTTGCACCATTCATTCAATTTAAACATGGTCGTGAACTGTTGCTTTGGGTATTCCAAAACACAGTTAATGGCCAACCTTTGACACTTCCCTATTAAGGATTGAACTCCTTTCTTACTTTTTGGAAACAACGACACCAAATCTTTGCTGCTCTGAGCCAGCTTAACAAATTCTTGTAATTTGGCCCAAGCTTGCGAATTCCACATTTTCAAATAGTTGAAAACAACGTCACTATCATTTTCATTCCCTGATGACTTATTATGAAGGATAGTTAAACTTTCTCCCAGTAAATGCTTATCTACAATCGAAGATTCGAGCGAAGCTAGGTTATTGCAGATCCTACCAACGGTTTGGGTCAGTTTCGCAGAGTTCTGAAACATTGTCCAATCTTCCGCCACGACAGACAATTTGATTGTACCGTCTGTCAAGCTGGCCGCGTCAATTTTTTGAGTTTCAATTGTTAGACCCAAACGTTTAGACACTTTTCTAATGACATCACTAATACTGTTCAAGTAAGACACGAAAAATTGAGACTCCAAAACTTCAACCACCGTCAAAATAGCTAGATCACCGCTCACCTTCTGGCATAGTTTAAGAGAATCATTAACTGCTCGCTCAACAACTTGCCGCGAGTCTTCGATTAAGTTTGAAACTTGGTGGAAATCTTTTGCCGAGTACGATGAAAACGTTGATAAAGAAGGCAGCAGCTGTTCGCTTAAATAACGACTGTAGTTAATCAGTATTGGAACCAGACTCGCATATACTGCCGCCTCAAGTCTTACACTTTTCTGTGAAGCCATCAGCTCAATATTTTCCACAAACGTTTTCTCTACGCTGTGAACGTCTTTCAAAGACACAAGCACGTCTTTAGGGTGTAAATTTGCTAAGCTTTGCTTCACTACAGCTGTTAATGAAGGTTCCAACGCCAAAATGCACTGAGTTACTAATTCACAAATGACACTACCCATTGAACACTTATTGGTCGCTTTATGAGGTTTAGAACTGTCGGCAACTTTATTGATGAACTCTTGTTGTTTTTCAACTTCAGTTTGAAGGTCGCCAAACAACAGTGTCAGCAGATCTGACACTTTGTCATTGAAACCTTCAGCGTGTATTTCTGACCAGGTTTTTTGGAACAGTGTCTTCTCGTGATGATAGTAGAATTTGAAGACAGCCTCCGTTCGATCAATCAGCTCAAATATTTTCTTATAGTGCACGAACGTATCAACGTCATTAGCATCAATTGCTTCGATTACTTTTGGGGACAGCATGGTCTCTGTTCTGTTTTTCAGAGCATCCAAAGTAGACTTTCTGGATTCGAACTCATGTGACATCTGTCCAGTAGTTGGTTTGGCTGCATCCACGCACGCCTTGAGAGCAACTATTTTCTCGCAGACTCCAGCGATATCGTCCACTAAAAAACAGTCCTCAATCTGTTGAGTTAGAGTGCTCCAACTATCTGCTTGCTGGATGAACTTCAACACTTGGCTGATTCGGTCATGTTCTAGGTCCAGCTGGACCAGAGTTCGCATGGACTCTTTAGTGTCCGTACACAGCACTCCCACTTCATTTGAGACATGACTCATTTCATTGTGTAACATCGTAGTCTCATGACGTAAAGACTCTACATCTCTCACTACTCGAGGGACAGATGCAGACACTGATTGCATAACATCCTGAACGTGCTTCTCCACTTCCTGGATGTATAGCTGCAGCTTCATGACAACTGAGGTGGCAAGCGCTTCCTGTTCTGCTCCTGTCGCCGCTGTGCTTCCTCCGCTGGCTGACCCCGTCTGGAACATTGCATTGATCCAGTCAACTGCATCCAAATCAGGATCCTTCAGACGGGAGTAATCAACAGAAGCGCTTGAGGACGCAGTACTGGAAGCCATAAACTCTTAAATCAAAACTAGGTAAACTATTTAAGCCAGCCGCTACCCAATCATCACTTCTAGGCCGTTTAAGGGCGCAACGAATAAAAAAAAAACACTTCAAGCTGTGTTCCAGCTTGCAACAAGTATCCCTTTTGCGGTCGAAAGGAAAAGATTGCGATGTTTTCACTGAAAATCAATCTTCAAACACAGAACAAGCACTGCGCGATTTTTAATTAGCATGAACTTTTGTACGTTTAAGAGAATTATGCAGCACACAATGTCCAGCATTTACATTATTTAACCCTTCAGTTAGGTACGATTATTCAACTTTTCATTATGGAAAAAAACTGAATCCTAGGGATGGTACTTAATGATATAACTATAAGAGCTATAACTTGATATAAATAAGAGGTATAATTTTTGTTCGTTCAATTTTCAATTCAAATTTCAGATTCTAATCACAATTACACCGATATTATGAGCACCACAAAAATATAGTATTTAAAAAATAGACTGAACATTAATTAAGCCTTTTACCCAAGGCCATTTTTCAAGCTGAGCTCAAATTGGGATTTTGAAAACCAATGCCCTCACATGAAATGTTAAAATCATTAGCAGTTTCACAATTCACTTCGAACTTTACACCTGTCATTTTCTCTGCAACCGCGATCGCAGTTTCTGTGTGGCTCGTTAGTGGTCCACACCTAACTCTACTTTTCCCTTTAGCAAGGGCCATGAAAATAATCATCTGATCTTGCAAGTACTTGTCAACACATGCATTACTGTTTGTAATCACAGATTCAATTAATTCCTGGAATGCTTTTTCAGCTACCTGTTCATTACTCAGGTTTCTGCTGCCCAACGCAGAGCCAGAAAAAAGACATCCAGTGGAAGTCCTGGCCACCAGCTGCACTCCAGATCCATTGCCAAAAGCTGTAGTCTCTTTTACGGACTCAAAGTTAACACTCACATCAGGGCCATTTAAGGATACTTTGTTGAATAAGCGCATCAAAACAGATTTCATTTCATGGCACATCTTTAATGGCAACACGCCAGCCACAAAACAGCGCCCATAAACACTCACTATTTGTCCTCTGTCAATCAAAACAATCGGATTAATTTCTCTCAAGGGGTTTGCTCGAACAACAATTTCACCCCCGCCTTTCGGAAAGTAGCCACGCATTACAACATCAAGATCAAACAAAACATCGAACTTTTCTAAGACAGGCTTCAAAACAAGTTCTACAAAATCAATTTGCGGAGCCATTTCGGCATTAGTTCCTCCCTTCAGAGTGACTGAAGATGCTCTGTTGGCAAAGAGCAAACAGGGCAGAATAGTTTGCAGCAGAAGAGTCACACTGCCAGCTGTCTTCGTGTCAGCTACAAACTGTCCTCCAGTAATGACACCTGGTCTGTACACAACGTCAGTTGAGTTTTCACAACAGCCCTCAACAGCCGCTTTGCATAACTCTTTAGCCAGCAGAATGCCTTGCAGGTGCTGAGGCCTTAGTCCAGGTTTAGACCGCCCTGCTCTGATGTTATTGATCTTGATGGGTACGCTCAAAACAGTGGAATACGCTATGCAATTTCTCAGAATTTCACCACCACCCTCGCCTTGGGACCCGTCAATTTCAATTTCACTGGAGACTGAATCACCTGCTGCCATTGTTGAAGCAGCATATACCGATCAAATCTGAATCACAAAATGGAAACTACTCACTTAAATCATGAGCTCAGAAGAGAAAAAGACGCCAGTTAAACGACTCGAAAATCATCCCTTTGGTTAAGCCCTCAAGGAAGAAACAAAACTCAACTGATTGAAAAAATGTATTTTTTGATTTCTGTCATTAATTATAGATTTGAAAAATTAATATATAAAGATCGCAAATGAGGTATCACAAAGAAGCATTTTATTTCTAAACTACTGCAGCAAATATAGCCAGTGATAAATATATCTGTAAAATCTGTAATCATATGAAAATTTTCGATCATACAAAATATGGCAAAGAATATTGCAAATGAAGACCACGAAATAAGCTGTATAAAATAATGGAATTACATTTTTTGAACATTTACTATTTTGATTGATGACTTCAAAAATTTTAGGGCAGTTTACTCAAAGGCAGAAGTAGCAGCTATCACAAAGAACACTGTTCAACTTGTACGTGAACTGTATATCCAAATATTCAGACTTGTTAGGATGACATTTTAGTCCTTTTGAAACTGGAGAAATCATATTTGAAATTTTCGAATCAAGATACGAGACTTATGCAAGCCCTGAAAGATTATGCTAAACTCATCATCTGCGATTTAAAGTTGAGCTCAACTTTATCAAAGAAGCGAAGCTGAGCTTTGCTCAGCTTGCGAGACATCAAGTATAAGATTAAAACAGCATGCACCTCAAGAAGTAACAAAGATGACTTCCAAAACTGAAACTGAAGGAACTAGAAAAACTTTTAAAAAAACTTAACAGATAAGTTTTTTCCATGATTGTCGTTTTTTTTCACAGTTCCTTGTGGGTTTGATTCAGAGCATTCGAATATAGGGTGCCCGACTCTTATGGATCTAAAAAAAACACAACAGAAATAAAATATTAGGTAGAGAAGCCGACAGAAATGAAGCCGTCAGCCAATAAGCTGAAAATCAAACGGAATTTTACAAGAAATACTTTATGGAAAAAAAATGCATATTCTACCGACATCGCGTCTAAGAATGCTACATATGTAGTGAATGCAAGGTATACTATGTTCAACAAAAAATAAACTGGCAGAGATTAAATCGACAACCATGAAGCAGAAAACTTGCAATACAACACAAAGATAGCACGACAAACAAGCAGGCAGAAGTCAAAAGCCCCCGGCGCAAAAGTTACATGTACATGAACACCTACATGCAAAAGCACGGGGGGCTTTTGACTCGGGGGATTTTGAAGGGAGGCTTTTGTCGCGGGGGCTTTTGACTCGGGGGCTTTTGACGCTCAGCGACAGAAATCGATACGAAAGCTGCTGAATCGAAAAAAAAAGTTTTAAAAATGAGGAGAAAGCTAAAGCTATCAACATTTCATATCTTCAATCAGTTTGTCCGAAAACAAAAATAAATTTAAAAAAAATAACATGCCAAAAAAGGCAACTGAACACTAATTTGCATCGTAGCAAAACTTAAGAAGCAGGACCAAATCGACATTGCTAGATACAAGCAGAACAACCGCATGTATAATAATTAATGCACATTAAACGACAAATCAAACATTTTCGAAGAACTTTCAACAAGAATTTCAAAAAAATTTTCGCAAAATGGCTCAATTACTTCCATTAATGTCAATCAAAAAGTTAGGAGAAAGCTGAATCTAGAAAAAGAGTAATACAGGATCCGAAGTAATACAGACGAAAAAAAAACAAATAGACGAACGATGGTCCAAAAAAATATATTCAGGTTTAAAAAAAAGATCCCGGCCGAATTCAAACCCCAGACCTATGTCGTCTCAAGCATGTGTTACCTTTACGACAAGCCTTTATTCACAACGTAAAACGATAAATTTTCGTTTTTCAAAGGAAAATGGTAGATTTAAAGCATTTGCGCTCCAACCGATTTTCAAACGTCGACTTGAGTAAACATTTCAATCCTTGTAATTTTTAGGCCTTTTAACAGGCCAACATCGGACTTCTTAAACGTGTGCCAAGTGAAATTTTTTAAGCATTACATTATACGTTATAGCTTCCACGTGCGAAACTTCTTTCGTTAAACATACAAAAAATATTAGGTTAAAAAAGCTTAAACATGTCTCCATAGAGACTTCTTAAACATATGTCACATGAAACGCCAATTAAATAATAGATAAATTAAAACATCCGGCAAGTAACCGATAAAACTTTTAAAACCTGAGAAGTATAGACGAAATCCAAAGAGTCGACAAACAAATCAATTAAATTCTGAAAAAGTTTCCACTAGCAAACATTGCATTCAGAAACACATTCAGATGTTAAAAGTGCAAAGTGCATCTTGACTGAAACTTCTAAACTGCAGATGATAAAATTGGAGATCTTGTGCACGAAGTTGTTTACGAAGGAAAAGTCTTGAACCAGGTTGCAACAACCTTGCTTATCGCAAGGGTAATTTACTAATCGCATCAATTTAAAATGCCTAACGTTTTTCTGACGAATCGCAGAGACTTCAGGCAAGCCACAACTTGAAGTATTTTAAACATAGAGGCGAAGCTGCGCTTCGCAAACACTCGCGAGACCACGACAAAAAAGCAGCTACGTGTCCAACTCGAATCTGCGACCTAGCGAATTTGGGTCTCACGCACTAACCACTCAGCCACGGATGCCTACAATACCAAAAAACTAGCTACCAATAACGCAGCTCTATATGCTAATAAATTGCTATTCGATGCAGCAAAAGTAATACCAAATACAAGAAGACAATTTTGCATGTAATAAATTGGAAAGCATAAAGCCAATTTATGTATTAATTATGCATTTCAAAAAAATTGCGAGATACATAGAGTTAGAAAAACTTTAACACCGATCTTTTTATCATGTACTGATGTTTGAGACAAATGACTTTTTTCGGTTCATTTGATGATTTAAAAATGCATCGGCTGTGTTAACTTTTTACTAATCAAATGTCAAAGCACATATGAAATTAGACAGCTACCGCAGCCTACCGATTCAAAAGTGCCACCAAAAGTAGCACTTTTATTTGCGACTTAGGCTGAGAAAAAAGATAGTTCGTACTAATACATTTTGCTTCGCAAGTGTAAAAAAAGCCAGTCAAAACAATTTGAGTACTCAGACAACTTTGCAATCAATTTCTCTAACTTGCACATTATCTTTTGAGAGATATTCCTGTTATCATCATTAAAAAAGCCTATTTGTGAAGATACATATGCCAATTGCTATATTCAAAAAGACTAAACACCGTAAAAACGGTTTTCCCTTTTCCTTCCAATTTTTGAAAATGAAATCAGGACTTCGCTGAGTAAACAAAATATGAAATACCTATCGGAATGTTTGTTTCAGGGAAATTATTTAAAAGTGTTGCTCTCATCTGATTAGTTAGTGTATTTGAACCAGCACAAAAAATCTGTGGCGGGAACATTAGTAACACCTACTTGCACAGTAATCGGATTGTCCGCCTTTTCAAAGAGAGTCGGCTTCTTCTAAGATTTGCTCATGTTCGTTTCCAGCTTCAACATTGCTAGCATTTGGCCCAACTTCTGAGCCATGAAAGTAATCTCCAAACGCAATTGAAGCTAAAAAAAATCAGTAGTCACAAATAAACTAGTCAGAATGAGATTTTTTTTTCAAGATTTCAGGTCACGAAAAGACTGGAAAAAAGTTTTGGTATAATGGGTGATTTCTTCCAGCCTATTTTGGGGTACCTCAAGTAAAACTCGTTAAGGGTCTGTTTTCCGTGCGGAAATACAGGATATATATGCCATTGCATGAACTACTAAAAACAGTTAGACATTGTACCTTATGCCGCTATAATAGATATGATATTATCATCAAACCTTTTAGTTGATCTTAGAAGTCTGATAAGTAAATTAGTACTTATTATATGTTAACAACCATATGTTATAGTTATCTATGAGTCGCTGTCCCTCAACTGATTCAAGTTCAGCGTCAATTCAGAATTACGAAAAACAGAATGAATTCAAATTGTTTATTCTCGTTGTTCTTACACATTAGAGATTCAGCACGTTAGGTCTCAATTATCTGGTATGCCACGCTATGCCTCCACTTTTTTGACTACAAACTTTTTTTCACTTCAAAACTGAGAAAAACAATTATCTTTCTGATCCACTTGGATAACAATGAGCCATTTGCTGAAACCGTTCCCGTAATCTGCCATTGACTTATTTCGATAAATAAACTACACGCTTATTAAAAAAAACGCACTATACTACAGTCAAACCTCTAATACAAAAAAAATAAAGATAACTGTTTCAAAATTTGCACTGAAGATTATTTCCGAAGCTAACGATTTCCAGACCATCGTATTTTTAACTCTAAATTGCAAACCCTAGAATGCCCGGCATCATAAAACTGCAACTTATAATTTCATATTAAAACGTCTTAGATGCTTTGTCGAAACCACTCCCGTATTCTGGCTGACATATTTCGATCACGATAAACCACTTGGTAGTTTTGCCTATAGGCTTATTATACAAAAACTCACAATACTACAGTCAAATTTCAAATACGAAAAAAAAATTAAGGATACCTTTTTCAAAATTTGCCATGAAAATTCTTTCCGAAGCTAATGATTTCCAGACCTCATACATTTGCAACTTATAAAGTTTATATCAAAGGTTCTTTTGATGCTTTATATAATCAAGTAAATTTTAAAATAAGATACTTGTTTATTTTAGTGATTCTATTTCAGTGACTTCTACACATCATTCGCTGCCACTAAAAGCTTCAACAAATAGGCGAAGCTGAACTTTGCAAACAAGCAGGAAAAACAGCAAAAAGTATCTCAAAAAATAAAACAAGTGAAATGAGGAAATAAATGATTAATATGATAATTGACTCTCCTCTTCCCATATATATAATTTTTGAATAGAAAAGTTTGTATTAGCAGTGACTTTTTTGAGATTCTTGTTTAACTTATTCATTTAGCTCATTAGCCCATACTCATACTATTTGCTGTCATCAATAGTTTAATCCAGAGTAAATAATTAAAAAACATCATCAAATAAGTGATCTAAAATTTATTGAAAATTGTCGCATGACAAATTGTCATTTTTTATATCTCGATAACGACTATTTCCTGAGCTGTAAATATCAGAGAGTAGATTTGAAACCTCTGGGTTTGAAAAGCTGTCTGTCATAGGTTTGTTGATTCAAATTTTGTGAAGCATTTTCTTTGATTGCACTATTCCCAAAAACTCATAATAACGTTAAACTCAGAAACAACGGATTTAAAATGTTTTTTTAAAAAAAAAAAAAAAACTGAAAGTAAAAGCATTCGCGCTCCACCAGGTGCATCTTGAAAACCGTATAACCTTAGTCAAAAAATTTGAATGTATACTTCAGAAAACATTTGAAACGTTGCAATACCTTCTCGTTTCAGCATATCAAAATACAGACTTATCATAAATCGGTGTACTGATGCGGGACGAAAACGTAATTTCAATATATGGACTTTACCCAAAACGTTGGTTGTTTCTCTAATAAATTGAGTGAGATGAGTCATAATTTAGAGACAAAGGGAAACCCTCACAAAAAAATTAAGGAGTAGCAGCTTCTGCAGAAAAACTTAGCGATACCGCTTCTTTCGGTTGAAAATTTTATCTCCGATTTGATAGGGTATTTTGTAAAATTGTAAAAAAAAATCCGTCAAGATTCAAAAATTTGACTATCCTAAATCGTTAATTTTTTTCTGCTAAAAGCTGGCCATGGCCGGTAAAGTAAAGTAGCTTCCCAAAATCAGATTTCTAGATTGAAAACTCAACCTGAGAATTGGCACGGTAATTTTCGAGCAGAGTAGAAAGACTTCAAAAACGGTCAAAGTTTCAAAACTTTCACTTGTTTGCAGGCCATAACTTTTTTCTGAAAAAAAAACGGGACGACGCAAATTATATATGTTTAGCTTCCAACAACCTGTTGTCTCGATTAAACCTATGATATCAGATTTGGCAGGATAGTAATTGAGAAAAGTCCAAAAAAGGTCAGCAAATCAAAAAGTTGACATTTCCGAGTATCATAGTTTTTTGTTTTAAAAAAATAAGGCGTAGCCGCTTATGCAGAAGAGATTCGCCCGACTTGTAGTTCCAATTGTCACATTTGCCAGGGTAGTTCTCGAACAACAATTTCAAAAAACGGTCGAAAAAATCAATATTTTGGCTTTATGGAGGGCCATTATTTTTTTGTGTCATAAAAATTTGGTCGTAGTTGCAAATACAAAGGCCCTTCTTACAACCCGGTTTATGGATTGAACCCAAAATCTCAGATAAGGGAGGGTACTTTTCGATAAAATTCATAATATAAAAAACGGCTCAAAAATGACTTTTCCGAGGACGATAACTGTTAGTGTAAAAAAATTTGTGAGTGGACGCTAATGCAAGGGAGCTTTTTATATCTGTTATCTCCACAGAAGCCACAACCAAACAAAAAACTGAAAAACAAAACGAGAAAAATTAAAAAATTGGACTATCCGAGGGCCATAAATTCATGTATAAAAATTTTAAGTGTAGCCGCTTCTGAACGGGAGCTTTTCAAATCCGTTTCATTCATTGAAACCTAAAATCTGAGATTTCGTAGGATACCTATTGAGAAAACGAATAAAAAAATCAAAAATGTTTGTCAATATTCCCCCACAGACTTTTCCGAAGGGGAGTATGCAAACACAAAGAAGGTGCTCGTTCTATGGATTTATATTTCTTGAAAATCGGTTGAAGGGTTGGTTTTCGACAAAATAGTTTTTATGCAAGAAGTGATAAAATTCTGCAAAGCGTCTCAAAAAAATATAAAGAAACCCAACTCCATGCACTTTCATAACACCTGTTTTTGTCAAACAGGAACTCTAGCCAAACACGCCACGTAAAAAATTTCAAATTCAATTTGTCAACTGAACAAAATTTACCATGCGAAAACAAGACCGACAATCTTTGAGCAGACACCAGTTGAGCCAAAAAAATGAATTTGTTCAAAAAAATTCAAGCCCCCCTCCTGAAACTAACCTGTAGTAACTAAAACCCACCCAGTAGTTAAATTTGAATCTTCATGAAATTGTGCATGTCAGCTGCATATTGATTCAAATGATTTTGATAAACTATTTGTTAACCCAAAAAAAGTCTTCATTACGATTTGATACCTCTTGCTAGTCGCGGGCGTAATTACTAACGGATTAAAGCATACAGAGCGAAATCAAAACCAACAACTTTTGAGCAGACAACAATTGAGCAGAAAATTGATTCTGTAAAAAAGTTTAAACTCGTGATGTGGCAACTAAGCCGACAAAACTTGAGCAGAAAAACGGAAGTCTGACTATTCAACTTTTTCCGGAAAAAACTTCAATTTCATAAATACTGAAAAAATAAGGTTGGGCTAGGACTCGATTTTCAGACCTATGGTGCAAAAGCGACCACGTAACTTAAGGCCAACTGGGAATGAACCTCGAAGTTGTTAAGCTTCAATGATAAGAAAAGCAAATGAGACTTGTGATAAAAATTTGCAGCGAAAAAAAACTAAGCACAGGGGCGAAGCGGAGCTTCGTACTACTTGCTATACAAAGCATACAAAAACAAGAAAAAAAATCGAAAAAAAAGAAAGAAATGTTGAAAAAATGAGCCAAAACTTTCGTATGTCTCGCTATAAGATAACTGGGGGCAGTAGCAGAAGGTCTAACACCGGTATGGCTGGAGGGGGAGAGAGCAGGGCGCGGAAAAGAGCAGGAGCAAAATTTATGTTTATTATACTTTCGACATGTTGAACTCGGTATTATCTACCATTGATTTCCAGCTGGAAATACACAGGCCGAGTTTGTAACGCAAACTTGTATTTGCATGTAACTGATACAAATGCATGTACCCATAAAATCGTTTGGTTCAATTTGGGCAAAGATAATACTTAGCCAACATATATTTATTTCTTTTCACAATCAGCTTGAAATCTGTTAGGGCAAATTACATTGTTATGTATGTAGCTAATTGTTTTCTTTGCCTACAAGCTCCACCAAAAACTTGAAAAATTGATTATAAATTAAACAACTTGAGATTTTAAAATAAACTAGTTCATTTTAAATACGGTCCTAAAATCGTCTGGTTTTCTTTGAAGGCTAAACATGTGCTAAACATAAATAACCTACGGAAAATTCAGTCTATTAAACACACAGAATAAATGATAAACCAACAATCTGCACTTAGTTTAAATCAGAAAAAGGGGTGAAACAAATTGCTCAAACCTAAAACACATCTAACTAATCAAATCTTAAACTAGTGTCACACACTTTTGGATTAAAAAATCAATAACCGTGCATCTGAAAATAAAACTGAAAATCTATTGGAAAAAAATTCCAGCGGAAAAAGTTCTAACAGAACAGTTTGACGCCTATAAAAAACCATGAACTATATTTACCCTCATGAAAGTGGAAAAAAAAGTACTGAAAAATTCTATAAAATTACAAAATTAATTACCCGACAAGCCGACAAAATTTGGGTCGAAGTAAAAAAAGCCGAAGAAAATCAACTTATATCTAAAAAAACTTTTCCAGCTGTTAAACAATTATCAATTCAGTCGTTGAACCCAGTTATTGAGTTACAGCTGTTAGATGTGCAAGTGGGGTAGAAAAAGAGTTGCATTTGGAGAAAATTATTATAATACAACAAAATGGCGTCAACAAATTTCAGTTTCAAAATTGGATTTAATTTTCATAACCAAATTCTTTAAAAATCGTAAAAATTCAAAGCTAATTTCGAAACTGAACGCTATTCATGTCAGTTTTTTTTGCAGATTTTGCATTTTCATAATTTGAGAGCGTAAGTTTGGGTCTGATTTGCTCTTGCATTTCATTTGAATTGCACTTGAAAACAAATCAAAAATCAAGCCGCGAAAAAAAACATTGTTGAGCGTGAACAACTTCAGAGAATTCGTCCTGAAAAAAAAACTCAAACAAAAAACTACAAAGACTTACATAAAAGATAAACCACTTCGTTCCTAACACTTAATAAACATCTGCAACGCTTTATCTGACCTGGTGGAGGCCCTCTATCATCTGGCCGAATAGCATAGAGTGGAACTTGCTGGTTGCCATTGGCATCGCCATTTAGTCGTGGCTCTTGAACTTGTCTCAATGGTAGCTGCTGGATCTCGGCATTGCTGGGGCGTCGGTTTCCAGTCCAACAAAAACACTGCCGCATTTTCTCCCAGTTCCGCCGTTCGACTCTGCCCGTCTTAACCAAGACAGCGAACGCGATTAATAACAATGATGCAGCTAAGACAATAAAAGCATACGCTATGAATAAACTTTTATCGACAATCACAGTCATTGAAGGCGTTTCTTCGTCTAACCTGGCAGTCAACGATTGATCAGACGGTTTTTGCTTTTGGCCCTTTTCCCGAATCACAAGCGGCTTCACTGGTGGGATTTGCTTGATGGGCGGTTCATGTCTCTGACTCTTTTCCGGAACCAACGGCAGATACTTTTGCAGATACTTGCATGTTTTATTATCGTTCAGTTTGGCTTCTTTTGGTTCGAAAGTTACGGTATCGGCGATCCCATTGGAATGAATTTCTATAGAAGAGCTCAATCCGCCACAGGCTAAACGACTGTGAGACAGAACCTGCACTTTCTTATAAAGATCCGCGTCTCCTAAGGGAAGCGCAATCCGCATCTTCGGCAGTTGTTCCCTGTCACTGCCCGACACCTGAAGTTTGGCGACGAAGTAGTGGTCGACATTCTGGTTTGAGCTCGATGAGAAGTAGTTGATATAAAAAAGCACCTCTCTTGTCTGGTGGATGTTGCTGCGGTCACTTTCAAGGCTAAGGACGAGATATTTTACGCTTGGATCTGATGAGTGAATAGTAACAACATTCACATAAGTAGCGTCGACTTGCGGTTGACAAAAAACGTCATAATAAGTCTCGCTATGCAGCTGATCGTAGAACAGTTCACGAGTGCTTAATAAAACTGCAAAAATAGCTACTTTACTACACAAAACCTTATTTAGGTTAGTTGATTAATTAGAATCCTAAATTAAAGTTTTCTTGTCGAAGTAATGATATTCGTTCAAATCAATTTTTTTACTGAAGTTTTGTTTATAAATTAACAAAACAATCAAAATTATCATAACGTAATTAACTAAATAGGCCAATTAAATCACAGACCACTCACCGTGACAATGAACACACTCATTCTTCTCGTCAATGTAGAGTGAGCACCTGCTCATAAAACTGTTCTCATCTACTTCGGACAGCACACCCTTAGGAACATAATAGCTCAATAAGGAAAGAAGAGAAAATAGATTCAAGATAGTATCGCACTTCATAACTTGTCCATTTTAAACGTCACTCGCTGCACCAAAATTTCACAAGATGTCTCACAAATGCGGATTCCACTTGACTCGACCCTCATGACAGAACTAAAAGACATTAAAAAAAAGGCTAGGTCCACTGCAAAAATAGGATGACCAAAATTAAGACCAAAATAAGCGAATTTATCGCTGAAACTAATTGGTTTGGATCTTAATGAAATTAATACAGTGCTGATTTAAATAAACCGGGCAAAACCAACAAAATTTGAAATTTCAAACGGGTTGGTCTCAAATTGGGTTGAAATTAGACAAAGTGAACAGAGCAAAGTGAACTTATTAAATAGTTTCAGTTAAAAATGAATACAAGGGGCAGCCGTGGTAGCCCCAATAGTCAATATTGAATTGTTGAAAAGTTTGATCACGACGATATTTTCTGGATTACTAATCACTGGACACTGGGTGGAGCTACACTCTGGACGGCTCCCGACTTGCTGTGTTCACCATCCCAATTCCCAATCAGCTGAGTTCATTCCAATTTTGTTTATTTACTTATTTTTCTTAGTCTCTATACCTTATGATCAAAATAGTAGGTGCAAGTTCTCTTTACCATTCCATCAATAAACTTGAACAATCGGAACAAGATAAGCTTGCTGATCCTGTTCACTCTTTCCCTGGACTGAATCTTGACCCTAGCACGTCAAATTACTGCCTCGATTACCTTTCATCAACCCCTCTCAGGAACTGCAAAATTGTTCTCTGGCACGATTTATTAAACAACACAATTACATCGCACCCGAAAAAAGGCAACATACCCCAAACAATCGAAGAACTGATTGCGACACTCAAGACTATTCCAAACCTCTTTTGTGTCGTTACCTGTCAACGCAAAGGTGCTCCCTACATATTCGACGATCATCGACGTGACCAAGCACATTATCAGTGCTTCCGAAAGAATTGACGAATCGTTAATTGCCGAATACCGAAAACTGCACCAGGCTGCTGACATAGAGTCGGGGACTCTAGCTACTGTGCTGCACTATTTTCCCGACTTCAATAGAATCTTCAAAACACGTGGCACGAAGCGCGAAGCTAAACGGCGAAAATTCTAAACAGGTACGCAAATCTGAGTCCTAAACCTTAAAATCTCAACAGGCGTGCTCATCGAGTCTCTGGCTCTGAGCCCCTCTAAATATTTTAAGATGTCTAAACATAACACCCGAAATCGGGTTAAGTCAGTCTCTGATTCTTGTAGTACGTGCTGCGAGAAAATCCTTAAAAATGAAAGCTCTTTCGACTGCTTTTGCTGTGATTGTCGAATGCACCTGAATGAAGACTGCACTGGTCTAAGTGAAGCCGCTGTCAATGGAGTACCAGCCTTAGGAAAAAATGCTCTATTGATATGCAACAAATGCGTTGAAGAAAAACGTCAAGATAATTAGACCCAAGCTGCCCATGAAACTACAACCTCAAAAGAACTTCGAGAACTCAAAAGAAAACCCTGACCTCAAAAAACAGTGACCGAAATCAAAACGCTGCTAACCACAAAACAAGCTGATTCGGATTATCCAACCCAACCTAGCTCAATTGCCAGTCGCCAAAAACCGCCACCGAAATCCGCCGAGGAACTCGATGGAATTCGCATACGAGGAATCCCTGAATCAACGGAGAAGGAAGCAAGGTTGCGCCAAGAACACGATCTCGCCGAAGTTCAAAAAGTATTGACCCATATGGATGTCAATGCCTTAATTGGCGATGTCATACGCCTGGGTCGATATGACGAGAACAAGACAAGAACAATCCTATTAAAAGTGCCCAATGCATACCAACGACGAATGATATTGCTATCTGCGAGGAAACTGAAAAACTTCCCTCAACCAATTTTCCTCAGCCGACAACTGACCAAGGAAGAAGCTGATCAAGAAAACCTTGCCCGCGTCAGAAGAACGCAACTTATCAGCGACAAATCTGTAGACAGAAAGGACATAAGAGTCCACGATGCAACTCTGTACATTCGGAAAGGTGGAAAGTGGATAAAAGAGAAACTCCCAGATCCCGAAGCACCCAATTGACAAGCAGCGACGATGAATATCCTTGTTTAAAATGTCAGAAGTATTCTTGAGTATCAACGGCGGACATAAGAAAGGACATAAGAGTCCACGATGCAACTCTGTACATTCGGAAAGGTGGAAAGTGGATAAAAGAGAAACTCCCAGATCCCGAAGCACCCAATTGACTAGCAGCGACGATGAATATACTTGTTTAAAATGTCAGAAGTATTCTTGAGTATCAACGGCGGACAACTTTCTCTAATGCTGTCCAAGTAAAAAAAACGCTTTTCAAGTCATCTGCCTAACTGAAACCTAGTTGACAGAAAGCATCGGCTACGCTGCACTTTTTCTGACAAACTACGTTATCCACCGAAATGACAGACCGAGTGACAAAGGCTTGACAAAACATGGTGGCGTACTCATAGCAGTAAACCGTAACATTCCAAGTAGCCAAATCATTTCCGCGTTTCAAGATTGTGTTATCATCCGCATATCCCTGAACAAGCCGATTTTAATATGCTGCATCTACAGCGCTCCTTCAAACAGTACCTACACATGGGACATCTCAGATCTAATCGAACTCCTAAAGTTCCTGAGGCGTAAGCGATTCGAACAAAGTGCAATTTGTTCGTATATAGTTGGAGATATAAATTTTAACTGTACACACTGGCCGTCAATGACTTCAACTTCTCTAGATTGAAGGCAAAATTGAAAATCTGCAAACTGAACTAACACTGCAAACATGAGCAGTCAATCCTTGACGAACTCTGTGAGTCAAACTTCCAAAAACTTTAAAAACCCCTGATGGAAAATCACTAGACGTTCTCCTTAGTAAACCGCAATTTGTGACCAGCGTAAAACTTGACAACCGTCTGATTAGTCTATTCAGTTCCGACCATTTGCCACTCCATGCCAAAGTCTCATTTGACTACCGACCTGTTCATAAAAAGACACCAGCCATCAAACAAAACTAGATTTTGGCATTTTCGCGTACAAGAAAGCAAACTGGGAAGAAGTGAATGAATTCATTCGTCAACACCCCTTCCAACCATTTTGCTTGAGCAACGTTGAACTGATACTCGATCATTGGTACGAGTGGTTATACGAAATACTACAGGACCTGCTAGCTATCACTACAAAACACAGGTCTTAACTAGCTCCTTGGGTGGGAAGCGATTCCTCCAACCTTATAAAGAAATTAAATACACTCCAACTTCAAAAATCAGCGAAAAACTACCCCATCGAACGAAGCCAAAAATGAAAATCTGCAAACTGAACTAACACTGTCCCTTCAAAATGACCAGCATCTCCACGAAAAAATGCTTTTTGAGAATGGGAAATTCAGAGAAATACAACGATATCTGAAATCGATCACAAAGTCTCGCATGATTCTTTCAGAGATCTTCCTAGATCAAAAAATAGCCAATACAGACGCTCAAAATTGTTAAACATATATTTTCAATCAGTTTTCACACGAAACGCCAACGTTGGGAAAGCAGAACGACAAGATAACGTTCTTCTGAACAGTATCAATTTCACTATCGATGAAATAGAAGATGCCCTGAACGAGCTGCACGTAAATAAGGCAAATGGACCAGACATGATTGGTTAAACTCTTCTGAAAAACCTCTTAAAGTCACTACCAAAATCACTTTACTTACTGCTCAACTAGATTGCAAGTAAAGCGATATTTCCAACAAAATGGAAGATCAGCGAAATCGCACCAATTTTCAAAGACGGGGATAAACAAGACGTATCAAATTACAGGCCGATCAGCCTGCTCTCAGCAGTGTCAAAACTGCTTGAGAAACTAATATTTGAGAAACTGGTCCCAATTTTCTACCCAACCCTAACACCAGACCAACACGGTTTTAGACCTAAACGATCGACGATAACAAACCTAATAGAGTATCTACACGAGATATTTAGCTGCCTAGATTTGCCAAACTGCAACTACCTGAACACCTTCTACTTGGACTTTCAAAAGGCTTTTGACAAAGTCTCGCACGGAATCCTCATGGAGAAATTATCGACTTCTGGAATTGGAGGAAATTGTTTATCTCTGATACACAGCTACTTCTCGAACCGGAAGCAAACATTGAGGCTGAATTACACAATTTCCGGAGAGCTGGAAGTCTTCAGCGGCGTTACCCAGGGCTCCATACTCGGGCCGCTTCTCTTCCTAGTCTTCATAAATGACCTACCGTCCTGTGTCATGTCCGCAACATTTGGTTATGCAGACGACTACAAAATTGTTGGAGACAACCCTTTAACTCTCAACATAGATGTTAGGAGACTATGGAGGTGGTGCGAGGAAAACTGCATGTCAATGAACCTGACGAAAAGCAAAGTCCTCTGTATCAATGGATCAGCTACAATTGCACTCCCTAATTACAGCTTCGAAACCACTGAAGTAATGAAAGATCTGGGCATCCTGATAACCGACACGCTCTCTTGGACGCAACAAGCAAAAAAGAGGGCTGAAAAAGCCTTAAACGCTCTCTTCGTACTCAAAAGGAATCTCTCAAAAGCGAATTTTGCGACCAGAAAAAACGCATATATCTGTTACGTTGGGCCAATTCTGTGCTACGGTTCAGCTATCTGGAAACCATCAAAATGTGACTTAGGAATCATAGAAAGTGCAGCGGAAAGCGATCTCGTGGATTTTCATGACAAGCAATAGCCATATCTCCTATAAAGACAAACTCGTGAAACTTAACATCCTTCCTTTGTCTCTATACCAAGAGCTTCATGTTGGACTGCTGTTTGCAAAAATACTAGCTGGAAAAGAAGAGCTCAAATGACACGAAATTTCGTCTGCAAACAAATGCGTCTGAAGAAGTGCGAGTCGGATTTCTGGTTTCGGGCATGTCGTCCTGTTAATCTGTTCAACGAATACTTCAAATGTGACATATTGTTTGACCCAGAATGCAAAAACCGACTTCTAGGAATGTACACAAAGTTTTTCAAAACTCGCTACAACGAATCAGACACATACACTAGGCGCATTTTATCGAATGCAACAACTGTAGAGACCTGAAGAAACTTACATTTATAACTGAAAACTAAACTTTGAACAATGCAATGACTGGGTTTTATGCGAACCGTTGGATTAAATTCCTAAATCCTTTGTTATTATTATTATTATATAAAAGTTGCTTAGAATTTTATCTTAATTAATATGATGCAATTTGTTTTGCAAAAATTGCAAGCAAAATTTTACCCCAAACATGGGTCATATGGGCTTTCTTCAGTTTATCAAGAATTACGCTTTAACTCCAAAGTAAATCAATGAA